TTTTCATTGCTTTGTATGTTTGTGTACTGGTATATGCCCAGGAGGGACGGAGAGAACTGCTGCTTTTCCCAGTCTGTATGGATTGGCTTTGTATGAGAGAAGACTTTCACCTTTGGGCCTCTCAAACCTTTGTCCTAGTCCAAACGACTGTCTTTGTTCCTAGTTGTGCTCATGTACTTAGAGTGTTACCATCACTACTCCAAGACAGGCAGAGCAGAAACCAGTCCCTTGGGTAACTCCTAGAGAAGGCAAAATGTTGTATGCATGGTCATTTCTCCAGGGAGAAACTGGGTGTCATATTTCCTCACTGGCTTATTCTGTGTTGGAGCAGTGATAAATACCTACACTCTTGTTCCCTGTATCTTGAGTGTAGTATATGCCAGGCTTTGTTGGCACTCAAAAACAAATAGAACAAAACAAGTCCAGGAGGTAGCACTAGGAAAAGTTGGAATGTTGGCTATGTGGCTCAGCTCTTTCCTTTCCCAGAAAGGTATTTTTAATGTTTTCTTTATGCTTACTCTATGCTGAGGTTGGTTGATAAGTCGATAAATGAATTTATACTACTTTAAAGTGTTTCATTGTGCTGTGCAGTCCCCTAGGAACTAGTGTATCCTGGTTCTTTCTGTACTCTTCATGAAGCAATATAGAAGCCAGTCCCTGGAGGAGCACCTGGAGAAATTGAGACACTGGATATATGGTCCAGCTCCCTCATTCCTCATGGAAAAGTTGGGCACTGAAGGGCTCCCTCTTGATTATATAACATTCTGCCCAGAGTAGAGATTATGGTTGAGAGCCGACTCCACTTTTTCTAGTGGTTTTAAAGTACATAGTTTCACACTCATCTGGGGTGCAGGAGCCTCTTAATTGGTTTCTGGATTTTTTTCAAAATGGTAATTGATCTGTGGAATTGATGTATCCATGAGGGGAAAAGGGTCTAGGTTTTCCTATTTTTTCCAACTTGTGCACATCACTCCCAAGTGTTTCTTTTAAGTGGTATATGCTTTAGTCTTGGCTTTTACATTTAAAAAAGTATTAGTACCTGTTTACATTGCATTATGGTTGCATTCCTTGTGGGAAGTTGATATGTGTACCTAACACATCTTCAATCTTTTTTGCATCCGCTTTCCCTCCCAGCTATTCCTCTGCTGGGTGTCTTCCCCAAAGAATTAAAAGAATCATACCACCGTGCACTCATGTTCATAGCAGCACAATTCATGATAGCTAAAATTTGGAAATAGCCCAATTGCCCATCAACAGGAGACTAGATAAAGAAAATGTGTTTTTTAAAAAAATAAAATGGAGTCCTACTCAGCCATAAAGAATGAGAAACTAGAGACATTTATAGCTAAATGGATGCACATTGAGGTGATATTCTTAAGCAAAATACATAGGACACATATGTGTAAATACCAAATAGTTTCTCTAGTGTGAGAAACTGAAAGTGTAAATAAGGACTGAAAAGTATAATAGATAACGTGAAGTAGGAAGAAAAGGTGCAAAGGGAAAGTGGGAGGGGTAGGGAAAAAGAAAGGAAGGAATAGAATTAATAAGAGAAAAAGAAAAAATGGAAACAAAATCTTTGTAGATTGGAAGGTTTGGAGGTGCTGAAGGGAGGGCAGGGGAGTGGGGAAAAAATAAGAACCAAGATGGATCATATAAAGGTGCAAATTTCCAATGATGGATGCCATTATGTTGTATACCTTAAATATAGAAATAAATTTAATAAAATAAAAAACCATATTAATCACTGATTTATGTACTTCTCAAATTCCATCATTTTATTTTTTTAGTCACTCTCATAGCTTCTTTGCTCTGTTTCCATAGCACTTATATATAATCTATACTATAAGAACTGTGCTTTTGACCAACTAATGCCTTTTCATCATCAGTGTGATACACGAGTCTCTTAATCTTATGGGGTATACGGCTACAAGTGGACGTGGAGAAGTAGAAAATTCATCAAGAGCTAGATAACTATTTTGTGAATTTGTCATTTTGAGACTTGATTATATAGTCAGGAAGGAAGATCACAAAAAACCATGGAAGTTCCCATAGGAAATGTTGTTCTATCGAGTGTATTGGGAAACCACTGGAAGATTTAGACAAGATAGTAGCATGATTGATATAAATTATGTCTTTAAGAAAAAGATTTCTGTTGGGGTGAGCAAGATACTAGAAGTAGAAAATAAGGAGCTTTTTGTGAGATTGATGAAAAATATAAGACAAGAAGGAAACTAGAAGTATGACTCTTAGGTTTTTGCCCTGATGGTATTGCTGTTTACTGAACTGAGAAAGAATTGGAAGTAGCCAATTTGGGGAGAATTTAAGAGTAAGCATTGGGGGTAGTTGAGTTGAAGATGCCTATTGGAGACCCAGATGAAGATGTTGAGTAACTCAGCCGTTAAATATGATTGATCTGAAGACGAGGGCTAGAAATACAACTTTGACAATAAGCAAAGTATTTACTGTACTATCTATAGCTTTGGGCCTGCCAGGGAAGTGAGTGTTGACCAAGAGGAGACAAGACAAAGGACGGTGGTGTGAGCTGGTACAATACTCAGGGTTAGTAGAGATGCCAGCATCATGAAGGCATGATTCTGTCATGTGCACAGGCAGCCACTTGCTCCGTGTGGTTAGGTGACTCGTGTCACACTGACGACGATAAAGGCATTATTCAGTCAAATGCATGATTCTTACTGTACCGATTATACATAAGTGCTGTGAAAACAGGAAAGGGGATATGAGAGTAGCATCGTGAAGGCAAGTGTTGTAACTTTTAAATTTTAATCTCTCAGCACCTGCTTCAATGCTGGGCCCACAGTAAGTGTTCAGAAACATTAACTGAAATAATGAACCAATAAATTGCTGGAAAAGCAGGTACATTGCTCTACTGTCTGTCTTGCATCCATGCTAGAACACAAAATAGAGTTTCTGCCAGTCTTAGTTGCAGTCAGAGATGGAAAGTTCCACACCTGGCAAGCACTAATGGTACGTTGTTGTTGTTTTTTTTTTTTTTAAACACTTTATAAATTACATGTTTTAACTAAAACCTTTTTTTCTTTCTTATGTGTAGATAAATAGCTTTAACACTTACTTAGCAAGTGGAAAAATATCTGAGCCAATATGTTCCTGGGATACATTGGGGGTCTTTGTTTTTGTTTTATTTATTTATTTTTTTCGCTAAAAGACACCAACTTTAATCCTTGGCAATCCAGAAAAACCATATATTTTCAAGTGCCAACCAGAATGAAAGGACTGGCTAATTTGCAGCAACTTGCTCTATTTTTTTTCCCCCTCTTTCAGTTGAGGTATTTACGCTTAAAATTCTTCCTGGACTACAGCCAGATTACAAAAGAAAACATAGTTAAAAACTGAAGATTTGACCAAATATGCAAAAGAACCTGAGTTGATTATGCATTAGTTTCTTAATTCAATTTTTATAATTAACACTCCTAATGTGTGATACCATTCCTATCCCAGTATTTGCACAGATTTTTAAAAATTGATGCAAGAGATCAGATCAGAATTATGAGGAAGATATTCCCAATGGGGCAGTGAATCATCACCACCATAAGGTAAGGTAGTAGGGAATTGCATATTTAGATTCTGTGAGGGAAGTTTACACCAGCAAGCTTTTGAGTGACTGGAATTAAATGGAAATTTAAAAAGAAAAATTATCCTATCAAATTGCCAAAACTAACAGAACTATGTGCTTTAAATATTCAGACATCTATGCTGCAATGCTCCAGCAGGCATTGATGTCAGTTCTGGGAAATGGTATTCAGAGCAGTGGAATGAAACAGAGCTGATGAATTAGACAGAAAGTGCGGTCCACTTTCAGATTTCTCTGAATAAACAGCAATAGAGAAGCAAAGCTGCAAACACATATAAAAACTGCAGCCCCACACTTGACATTTGAAATATCAAAATGATAGTTGGGAAAGATTAAAATTTTTGCCCAGTCTGATATTTCCCATTCACATAGTTTCCACTTTTTTGGATGATGAAAATCACAGTTAGTTTCAAAATTCTCTTTTTCTCAGTAACCATCTTAGAAGAGATTTGGGCTAAAATGACCAAGTCCTGAAATGAAATTTCTCAGTCGAGTAACAGAAGTGGTATTAGAAAGTGAATAAGCCTTTCAAAGATTTTTATAGCAGACATAGTGTCTAAATACTCCAGATACCTACATCTAAAAAAAAATTAAGTCTACATTCTCTTTGAAGGTGATCTGGTTGCAAGCCTCTCAGAGCATGCTAGAAGGTTACATCAATATCTAGTCTTAAATCATCTTAATTATCTTCTCAGCTTCAGTAAATCATTATCACAGGAGAAAGGATCAAAATTGAGGGGTTTGTTTGTTGTTTATTCGGGTTTTTTACAGCCTATGTAACCGAGTTAAGGAATTTTAAAGAGGACTATTTCTAAGCCCCACAGGAAAAAAGTATTCTCTTTATCTTTGCAGTACAGACACTGTGTTGTGTTCCATGTTAGGAACACCAAGAATGAATTCATTATATATTTATACCAATTTCTTTTTAGGATTCAGGATTTTTAAAAGCAGAAATATTTGCTTTCCTAAACACTGCAATTAACTTCATGCGGATTAGGTAATTGGGAGATATAGCCATTGCATTTGAAACAATCGGATACACTTCATCATCCACACGTAATTCTGAGGGATAGGATAAATCTTGTGTGGAGCTAGATTCAGAGTGGGTTTGTATATTAAACAAATAAGTAAGGAATCTGCTTCTTCTTAAATTTATGATTAAACAACTTTCCTAGTCAAGGAATATACATTTTCTATCCTCTTCTGATTCTTTTCCTTTATCCCAAGAAGCATCATCTTTTCCCAAGTGAACGTACCATTTCCTCAGAGGATCTCTTTATCTTTCCCTTTTAATTTAACAGCCACATATATCTCTGCCCTAATCTATAGCAGCACTTTGGAACATAACACGACATGAAATGATTTTTACAGAAAAAAAATTACATACCCTTTTCTTCTTTCCTTTTGCTCTTGTTGGCAGAAGAATCTTCTTAAATGCTCCCACTGACTGGATGAATTTGGGCAGAGACGAGAGGAGGCTGGAAGGAGGTCCTTTACAAGTGAATCTTTGTCCGCTTCGTCTCTTGCCTGGGGATTGACAGACTTGTTGCTCCGGCCAGGACCAGAGGAGGAGGGGCGCGAAGGGAGACAGGGCTTCAAGAACTACCTCCCTTGGGATCTTCCAAACCAGGCAAGAATGAACTAAACAGCCTCTTTAGCAGGAGAATAACTAGCCCATACAGGAACCAGGGAAGCAAGCTCGTAGAGCAATAAAGTATGAAACCTGAGGGCTTTAAAAAGAACACAGAGTGATTTTAACCTTAAGACAAATTTGTGTGAACGTGGGACAGGGAAGAGGGAGAGAATGGTTGGCATTGTTTAGGAGGACGACCAAGCACTTCCTCCCGTTTCACACTCTGTATTTTTTGTTCATTTGTTAAGTTTCCTCCACCATCTAGGTATCTTACAGCATTTTGGTAGAAGATGTATCCTAATTCACATTTCATCCCTCTAGCTTCTCAGCCAGAGAATGGAGAAGAAAAAGCAAATGACTAAAAATGAAATCTATTCTGTGTCTCAGAAATAAAGGCTCTAAGGAATCTCACTCTATTTTGAACAGACATTACTGGAGCTCTACACCATCAAAATATACTATCTAGAGACAAAATATACTGTCTTAGAGGGTATATCCAGCTGTATTTTTTTGTGTAATGATATGTGTCTATTTTATTCGTATAGATACATGTTATTAGTTTTAGATCCAGCCAATCCCTTTCATATAGAACTTAAGCATCTATATCCAAAATTCGGGTATTAAATTTGAAAACCAATCTAATTAGTATTTCCTTTTAAAAAAGCAGCAAAATCCTTCCAGCCAGATGAAATCTCAGGAGATATTTTAGATATAAGCAACATCAGAAATCCTGAGCTTGTAAAAAAAAAAATGGGAATACACAAATGCTTCTGTGATTTCCACCTGGGAGCTCATGCATATGCCCTGATTTAGAATCTGCTGCCTCTCTGTTTTATAATTGACCCCTTTCTCTCATTTCCCTCAGGCTTACGTCCTTCTGGAATCACCGAGGCTGGCAGTGGAGGGAAAGGCAGTTGCTGCTTTCAGACTTCATGGTACAGATCCTCCCAGGAGGTGGGGTAGAACTTGGTTTATGTATCTGACAAGAGGAATTTCAAAATAATTATACAAATTGAAAACTAATCCATACAATATGTTTATTGAAATAATAATGAACTACAGAAAAACAATTACCTTTTAAAACTATCCTATAATCTTTCATCAGTTAAAAAAAATAAGGTGTTCATCAGTTAAAAAGAAATAGGGTGTTGTAGTAACTTGTTTTTCAATTCTGTAAGCCTTTTCTTTCTGATTAAAACTATATAAACATTTCCCTTAAAGCTTCCACTGAGACTGGAATATTTTTGCTTAGAATGGCTTTTGCAACTGGGTTTAACAACATAACCTCTATTATCCAAACGTAGATTTATGCCACTGCGCTCAAACTTACGAAAACAGACTGTGCCAAGAAGTCTCCGGTGAGGCCCTTGAGGGAAAAGCAGACTTACCAAGTAGCTGGTAGGATGAGAAGTTGAGCTCATGTTGCTACAACCAAGGGAAGAGAAATGCTTGCAGGGGTGTTTGTATTGAAATGCAGTTTCAGTGATGTGCTGTACTGGGGAATTGCCAGTCTTCCTAGGTGGGCAGCCCTGGCTATGATAGGGATAATAGGGAAAGTTTTGTTGGATCAAAGACTTTGGTCAAAACAAGAAGCACAGAAGCAGAAGCTCTCTTTTACCGGACACCACTAGGAGTGATGGACTTTTTCATGGAATTTGAGCACCAAAGTAACATGATCTTTAAGTACTGTGGAAACAAAGTTAGAAAAATGAACATCAAGAGAGAAGTGTGTCAAGGAAAATTGTCCAGCTTTAGGAGCCCATGGAATATTTAGAATGAATGATAATATTAGCGTGAAAATAAACTTCAGGAGGAAAAGTGGCCAAAAAAGAAAGTCTCTTGGAAATAACCTCATTAGTTTCCTGGCATGGCTATTGAATTCTACTGTAAATGCTGTTTTTTCTTTATAGAATAAATAAGGAGTTTAATTAATGGTTTTTCCCAATTCTATGAGTATCTGACATTCAATATCTTTTTTTTTAAATAAAATTATTTTAGGATAGCTTTATACTTATAGCAGTATTGCTAAATAGTACAGATATTTCCTTTATGCCCTGTATATAATTTCCTTTTAACTAAATCCTTACATTACGTGATACATTTGTTATAATTAAAGAATCACTATTGAAATATCATGATTAAACAGTGTCCATATTTTATTCAGTTTTACTTAGTTTTTAGCTAATGACTTCTTTTTCTGTGCAAGGGTCCCTTCCCAGACAGGCTATCATATCTCCTTAGGCTGCTCTTAGCTATTTACAGTTTCTCAAATGTTGCTTCCTTGTGACCTTGACAGGTTTGAAGAATACTGGTCAAGTATTTTGAAGAATGTCTCAAAACTGAGATTTGTATATTTGTTTGGTTTATGTGTTTGTTTACTGTCTTGGGTGCTGGGGATCTAATGCAAGGCCTTGCTTGCATATGCTAGGCAGAGGTTCTACCACTGAGCGATGCTTCCAGCTTTAATATTTGTTTTAAGACTAAACTTGGCTTATATAGTTTTGAAAAGAATGCCACAGAGTTTAAGTGTTGCAATTTCTATCATAGCACATCATACATGTACATTCACATCAGGTATGTATCACAGACATGGCTTATCGTTGTTGACTTTAGTTTATGTCAAGTTTCTCTGCTGTGCCTTTACTTTTTTCCTCCCCCTCTCCTTACTACACTCTTTCAAAGGAAGTCACTATGCAGAGTGTACACCTAAGAACAGGGAGTTACACTCTTCCTCCCTGAGGACGTGGTAGCTACATAAGTTTTGTGAAATGCCTCTGGGCAGGAGCTTTGTCTATTTGCCATCATTCCTTTACTCATATCGATCATATCAATACTTGTATTACTTGTATTGATGTGTACTATTGATATGTATCTCTTGTTTGCTTTGAATTATAATCCATTGTTGCCCCCAAGTTTGTTGTTCAACTTGTGTCAGCGTTGGCCATCAGGAGCCCTTTCCTTGTCTCCTGTGTCCCCTTGTCACACCCCCTGACAAAGTTGTGGCTTTTTGTTTCATTTTTGTTGTTGATCTCGAGCCCTGTGTTGCTTTTTTCCCCTATAAGTCACTACAGGCTCATCTTGTATATTTCTGGTCCAAGGAGCCCTAGTTCCTCTCCTTGGAGGATGGATTTGAAACCAAGATCTGGGTACAAGCTGTGCTCACTGGTACTGATTTGTCATAGCTGCTAGGCCCTCTCAGATGACAGAACAAGCGAATATATATGGGTATACTAACCTGTGTATATACACACATATATTAACATTTCTACGCATGGCCATCTGTATATCAACTTAAACACGAGCCTATACTGACGTCTCCACTCTGATGCCTTCCTTGGCTTATCTGTAACCTCCCACCCTAGCAGTGAGAAGCCTGATCCCAACTTCTGCTACTTATGTAATAGTTTAATTTCAGTATACAGGTTTAGCAATATCAAGATTATTAGCCCATACCTCATGGTATACAGTTGTGTCAGCTAGAGTACAGTGCTTGTATACAGTGATTGTCTTTGTCCTTTAGCTTTATAAACTTCACTTGTTTCCCAAGTTACTTACGTATGCACTTGAACCCTTATATTTTTAAATGAGGTAGTTTCACACTTTTATAATATAGTTAGATTCTCTTGTTATGTTCTGTATTCTATCTGGGACACCTCCATCTCCTAAATAATAGTTTTAAATTATTTGTATACATTAAGGTTCAGTCTTTGTGCTCAAAGTCTGTGGGGTTTTTTTAAATGCATAAAGTAATATAAACACCATTATATTATGGTTCCGAATCGTCTCACTGCCTTAAATTTTTCCTCTGCTTCACCTCTACAGCCTTGCCTGCCTTCTGCCCTGGCAAAGGCAAGCACTGATCTTTTATATCTCTGTAATTTCACCTTTCCTAGAATGTCTTTGTATCTGTCACCTAGGCTTATGCATTTAAGAATCATCTATGAATTTTCACAGATAATTTATTTCTTTTCATAACTGAATAGTATTCTGTGTTGTGTAGATATACTATGGTTTGTTTATGCATTCATCTGTTAAGGAAATCATGGTTGTCTACTGTTTGGCTGAGAATAGAGATGCTTGCTATAGTTTGGATCTGAAATAGCTCCCAAAGGCCTGTGTGTTAAAGGCCTGATCCCCAGCCCATAGTATCATAGGAGGGGTAGAACTTTTAAAAAGTGGGGCCTGACTGAAAGAAGTTAGGTCACTGGAGGTAAGAAGGGGGTGCTGGGAGGCTGCCCCTTCCTTATTCCTATTCATTCATATTCATTTCTCTCTCTCTCTCTCTGTCTCTCTTAGGTGTATACTAACCTGTGTATATACACACGTATATAAACATTTATACACGTGACCATCTGTATATCAGCCTAAACATGAGCTTCTATTGGCTGGGTGTTGTGGCACACACTTGTAATCCCAGCACTCGGGAGGCTGAGGCAGGAGGATCGCTGTGAGTTCAAGACCAACCTGGCCTACATAATGAGTTCCAGGTCAGTCTCAAGTACATAGTGAGACCCTGTCTCAAAAAACAAAAACAAAAACAAAAAACCGAAAAACAAAAAAAAAAAAAAAAATGCATGGGCTTATACTGATGTTCTCTCTCTCTCTCTCTCTCTCTCTCTCTCTCTCTCTCATTAAATTGAGTTTATTGGTACATTTTAGGTATACAGTACAGTTACATTCATCATTGAGATCTTGTGCTTTTACATTTTTTCCCCATCCCCTGCCCTCCCTTCACCCCTCTCCTCCCTTCTCTATTTACAAAGACTTTGTTTCCATTTTTTCCCTTTTTTCATATTATTTCTTTTCCCTTCTTTCCTTTCCCCTACCCTTCCCACTTCCTCTACTCCTTTGGACCTTTATCATTTATACATTTCGATTATTATTTACACTGTTAGTTTTT